TGAATTGTTTCGTATTTTTCATGTCGGGACCATTTATAGCCGACTATACGGTATGGGTTTTTCTCATTGTTCACGGCCGTACGGTTACATATAATTGCTTACGTCCACTTCATTTGAACTTTGGTGGATAGTTGTCTCATCGGCAATCATACCACATCTCCTTATTTTTTTATACACATGATACATATCGATCTTAACCAAACTTGGCATAAAAAAGGTATGAAAGGTTCACTTTATGAAAATATCTTAATATGTTTGTGATTAAAAAATCAAATCTGCATTATACCAGAATAAATTTTAATACTGGTTATCTTCTTTTTCTGTAACTTAAAGACTGAAAATTAAAAAGATTCAGAAATGAGAGTTACCATTTGTACACAAAACCTCTTTTATCTTGAGTCGATACATGGTGTTGGCATTTTGGTCCCCTTTGTAGCATATAATAAATCACTGTGGTATGACTAAATCTAAACTTGTTGTCAGATTTACAATTCTACAATTAGTTCTATGAGTTAAAAAGGCTGATACAATTTAGAAACTCTAGAATATCACCATACTTATAATTTTTTAATTATTCTTCATTTGGAGCTGATCTTTAATGTAGATTTCAAATGCAATGATTCATTAGATCACTTCGAACCTCATTATTTTCAAAACTTTGTATGTACTTTTGCTACTTAAAAAGGGGGGTAGTCTTTGACGTTGAAATTTGCTCATTTCGTTATTCTAAAAGAAGATCAGCAGATTCATCTCTTTTGTAACGCGCAACTCAACTTTCTTAATTCGCAACTCGAATTTTATTACTCGAAACTCGATTATAGTAACTCGTTACTCGACTTTATAACTCGCAACTCTTCTTTTGTAACTCGCAACTCGACTTTTATAACTAGCAACTCGACCTTTGTCACTCGCAACTCGACTTTATAACTCGCATCTCGATACTCGACATAAAGTAAATCTCCAATGCTAGTAGGCAATTTTAACTAAATCGAAATAGTATAATCGTTTGATCCAATGGATTTAGTGTAAAGACGTCATTAACAGTCAGAGAAAAACATGACCTTGTTAATGCCAAAATATAGGTATCGACAGATTGTAGTACCGCGTGAAAGTGCGTATGTGTAAAAAATATTTTTGTGTGGTTTTAATTTACTGATAACAGCGGGTCTTATATAAATTTCCGTGCTCGGTAAACAACATCACCGTAAAATTTAGGATGTGCTATTCCGTCTGAAACTAGTTTTTTTTTACAGGTACAGCCAAACCTGCAAACCAAATCTTTGCATTTATGGAAGAATTAAGTAAAAGTTTTGAGTAATTTGTGGTAACGAACTCCCTGACTTAATTTACCAGTAATACATAGATTACATTTAGTAATACATTGAAAGCCAAAACGTCATTACAGACACGGGCATAGCGAACGAGTAGGGATATTTATTAACCAACTTACTACAATATGTATAGAAATGCCCATGCTTTATGAACAGAAAATTTCCACACCTGGTCAATATGAACCGGGACATTCCTTCAGCCGGTCATTACGAAGTCACAGCCATGCATTACGAAATCCTAGCCATGCATTACGAATTAAAAACGGGGCATCAATACAGGGCCATTATGGATTAAATCAAAATGGTCTATATTTCTTAAAATAAGTGATATACGTTTATAAAGTTTCTGAGAGTTGAAAATCAATATGCACTTATTTTATATGTGTTATAACAGTCGTATTAAAATGCATTATGAATCGGAAATATTCCACAACCTTTTCGAGCTCTGTTTCAGTTTATCATCCCTACGTCATTTCCTTCCATAATAAAAACAAAGTCGACAAATGCAGACGTTACGAATGAGAATGTCAGAATGTTTGATATATTCTTCCCAAGTACTTTATTTCTGCTAAATACATTCATGAATAGAATTAGCATTCATGTTGCACTTGGATTGAAAATCAAAAATCTCGTCAGTTTTGACATTAAAAGCAGCGTGGGAGGAGAAGTTCAAGTAAAATTTCCAGTATCCTGATATTTTTTATTCATTTAATAAAAGTGTTATGAACTGCCTGTGTCTGTATTGTCCTAACTATTTTCTTTAATGAAGTTGGTTAATAAAAATATCAATATATGGCCTTTTCCATATTGGCCCTGTAACATGCCCTTGGTATTTCAATAATGTCCTCGGAAGGCTGCAATGGCCCTCGGCGTTGCCTCAAGCCATTACAACAATCCTTGGCCATTATTAATACCTCGGGCATGTTACAGGGCCAATATGGAAAAGGCCATACATTAATACAATAATAAACACCGTAAGACGGTGCCAAAGGAACATCACCGTCCAGAAAAGGAAAATTAAGAATAGAGAAAGAAAAATCATCCCGTTTGTCGTAATTTTTTTTTCAGAGTTTCTGGTGTAAAACTGAAATGTCTAAATCTAATAAATGGCACTTATTGCTGTTAATATTTGATTTATTTAAGGTTATTTCCTTTGGGTATATTTCGGCAGTATATTAAGAGAATTCTTGATTATTTTACGAAAACATATCATCAAGATAACGGTAAGTGTTGTTGAATTTATCAATTAAATGGAATTTATAAATCATATTTGTCATGTTCACTTAGTTTTCGGGACAAACAGCACTATTTAATGAAAGGTGGTCATATTATTTCATAGTGCGTTTTAACAGTGATTGATAATCTATTTTTTAAACTGTCTTTGTTCGTTTGCATGCATCACCTTATAATGCTGAAGACCGAAAAACAATGCTAACATCTTGACGAATAGAAAAGTATGCGACTTCCGGAATGAGAAATAAAGTACAAATGGTGTGCTTTCAAAATATAAATGATTTAGTTATAGGTAAATGAACATGATATTGTTTGATTAATGTCTATCATCTATTATGTATTGTTATAATATATAAATAACCTTTTCTCCTTTGAAACGTTTTTAAATGACTACGCAACTAAGTTCTGACATTTTCCGCAAAATCTTAACTAAAATGTATCAACGCCATGTGTTTTGTATTTTTCAAATATTTTTGCCTGGATCTTCATCGACGAAACATTTATTTATACCGCTGCTGTTATTTTTTCAAATAGTTTTCTTTTGTTAAAATGTTGCATTTTTGTCTAGGACGATGGTTAAATGCTATAAAACATGTTTAACAGCGCCGTACGAAGTAAAACTCCGTCTATAGTAAGGGACCATATACTACTGTTTACTTTTGTCTCTTATTGTTTTATTCCCCCGTTTCTTTGATATATTTATTTGTATCTTCATAATCAGGTGTCAGACCACCAATTCACCCACTCCAATTTAGAACTATGTAAAAGTAGCCTTTCCCTGACAAAAAATAGTGATTTTGATGTCATTTTTACTTAAACTAACCATCAAATTTGCAGAAATGAAACTTTTGGTGAAAGAGAAATATATTTAGACCATTTGAGCTACAATTTACTTGTCCATGAGTTTGCATTAAAAATTGAGGATTAATGCGCTCAATAGTATATTAATTTAAGATTTCCAGATAACCAGGGGTTATTTTAGTAGTACTTGGCTTCCGAACGGTAGTTCTTCGTTACAAGACTTTATATTGGCATGTAGAAAGGTGATACATGTATGATTCAGGATATACCTGGTTTCTATGAAGTTAAACTTAAGGTAAAAAATTTAGAAAGATGTGAAAATTGCAAAGTTTGGTTGAATAGATGAAACCAAAAAATCAGAAAACAATTGATTTTTTTTTTCTTAACTGATCATTTGAAATGCAGGTAGCCAAATTTCAACATTTTGGGGGCAAACAAGTCCAATATAGGTTATTAACTACATTGTACCAAAAACAAATTGTCATTATGAATATTTCATGAAATTATCTGATTTTTACTTGTTATCTTATTGCGTTATTCCATGTATTTGGAAGAAAGTATAGCCTAATGTTAAAACTGCATAAATTCACTCTTTTTCCATCAATTCTCTCAAATAAAAGTTGTCTAACTTAGATATTATTGACTCGTAGTAAATGAAAAATGTTTCATGACCAGAACTGTATTATTGATCAATGAATGTCCCACTTCTGATAACTTATAAAAAAAGGGGGAATATTCCTTAACACTTCATTACCTCTGATTTTTATCTAAACTCATGGTAAAAGTTGTAAAGAGTCTTTAAAGCAGTAGGGCAAACAAGAAAAAATCAACCAAAATTGATCTTGATATTGAAAGTTTATGTTCCTGTAATCAGAAATTAAAGTTTTTTCTATTAAAGTCATACAAAGCAGTCGGTTTAAATTGAGCTGTGAATTTTGCTATATAAGTTGCAATATGCTAAGATATGATTTGTTTTTGTTCTACAAATTGACAAAGGATTAAGAATAAAGCAAAACAAATGACCTCTGATAAATTTTATGTCTCTTTAAAGCGAAAAGCGGTGAAACCAAAAACAAATCAGAAAACAATTGATTTTGTTTTCCTAACTGATCATTTGAAATGCAGGTAGACATATTTCAACATTTTTTGGGCAAAAAGTCACATATTGCTACATTAGAGCCTTAAACCTGAATTTGTGCTATTTTTAGCTTTTACCATCCGTACAATATGCATGCATATAAAAAAAAATGTCTGACTGACTGAATTGTGACGAAATTAGTGCATTTTACATTAAAACTGTATTTCTGATGCTAGTTTGCGCATACTGTTCTTCTTGGATTAAAATACTGATATTCATGTGTGAGGAAAACTTATATGAGTTTCATGGGTAGGTAACACATAACAAACATCATGTATGTCACTTATATACTATACATTTTGTTTGAATTACAATGTGCTTAAAACATGCACGAGGACCTGTATATGGGGGGTCTTCATTACTGTATTCTTCATTTGTGACCTTTTTTCTCTATTCTTTCATTTGTTTAGCCAACATTATCTATTCTTTATATTTTATGTATCTACGGTTATCTGATGAATATTTAAAGTATAATTTTTTTATTTCTTCTAGAATACACCTAGCTATCCAATGCGTGTTATAATACTTTTAGGATTGTTTATTGCATTTACCGCTATTGTTGCGTTCAACTTTGTATCATTATTTTATGATGTTACAATATTTAACGGAAAATTAAAAAAAAGACTTGGCGCTGAAACCCATACAGAAGCTAGGCAAATGTCATTCATGTCATCTTTATTGGAACAAGCAGACATCATTACGAAGCAAAATTGCACATGGCCGCCACATAATTTGAGTAAGTAGGAGTTGTTGTTCTTTTTTTATTTCTAGCGAGGATAAGTGTACATTTTGTCTTTGGCTGTGCATGTACTGATTTTCTGTCATGGATGGATATCCCATATCCTTTGTTTTCTATCATTGTTATTCATACGGCATGAAAAGACACCATGTAACAATTTGAATTATTCGTTTTTTTAAGTTTAATGCCATATTGCACAGTGGTTTAATTTAGAAAAGGTTTTTTTATAAAAAATTTTTTTATTAAAATGAAACTAAGACTTGTTCGTTACATTTAGGAACAATACCCTAAACAAATATTTTTTTTGAATCAGAAAAAATAAATAAAGATCAAACAAAACTCTCCGTCACTATGATCTTGAGTATCCAATATTCACGCGGGATAGGAGGCGTGCATAATAGTAAATATATAAAAATAAGATAGTTGATGTGGTTTGATGGCAATGCGACAACTCTCCAAATGAAGTAAAAGTTAACAACTATAGGTCACCGTACAGCTGTCCACACTGCTCAAAAACCATACCGCATAGTAATTAGCTATAAAAGGCCCCTACATTACAAATGTAAACAATTGAAATGAGAAAACTAGCGGCCTGACTTAGGTACAAAACAATAAACGAAGAACAAATATGATATATATAGCATCTAACGACAACCACTGAATTACAGGCTCCTGACTTGTGACAAGCACATACAGAAAAATTATATACAAAACGCAGTCTTTTTTTTTATCCCTTTTTTGTGGTCTCTTTTAAAATCGGTTGAGATTATACTACAACCGACCAAAAAAGATAGCTGCTTACTATAAATTTATATATAATATCGATGGACTATGTTTATATTTCTGATTTTTTTCTGTTTGTGTGGTGTATTTGTGCTCAATTTGTAGTTACCTGTTTTTATATTTCGTTACTGCCGGTTGTCTTTTTGTTATCTCCTTTTTTTCATGGTGTTGTTTGTTTTTACGACTTCTGATTTTTTTATCGCCCCTTCACCCGTTTGAAGACTTATCTCTATTTTTCAACGACAACGCGGGCAATTTCTTATCGGAATACATTCTCCAAATTGGTCTCCGTCATAAATATGTATGAAGTTTTTGCCACCTGACGTTCAGCAAACAACAGTCAATTAAACGTATCTCCTCTGAAGGTACTATGATAATTGAATAATTAATTTTTAATCCTTTGAACAGATATATATACACGTGTCCTATTATTTTCAAGATTTAGAAAAAAGAAAAAAAACCACGAATATTGAATATATACGGAACACATCGTGTTACTGCATTAAGTGTTTGTTTCATGATGGTGATGATGGATTGCTGTTTAACGTCCACTGCGGCATATTTAGGACCAGAAGAGGTTAATGTGATATAAATATTATCCCAGCTTTGTACAAGACCGACTGTCTGAGCCAGATTGTTTACGTGCTAATTCACAAAGTTACAGTCCGCAGGAAGACCTGTCACCCTCCTCATACACATTAATCTGACAACGAGCCGACTATTTGCTCTCATTCCTTAATGCGGATGAGCGGAGAAGCAGCAAATAAAAATTTTTAAGTTTTTGATTCGACCCAGCTGGGCTTTGATCACACAACCTGCCGCACTCGAGGCGGAAACGAGACCACCGAGGCTATTTTGCTTGTCCCATAAGTTTTGCACTGGTTGGAAAAATGCCTAGCCAAGGAAAGCTGTTCGCCAAAATATGCATGTTATTTTAAAAGATGAATATCTAATATTCGCAATTGAATTAAAACAGACAAATGTGATCATAAATATTGTATATCTCAGCCTTAGAAAAAAATCACACTTTATAATCTTTTGCTCTTTAGCTGTATATTAATGCGCATTTAATTAGTTGTTTTGTTTCATGTTTCCCCGCTTAGTGTATAATTGGTAGTGTGCTTGAGTGTAACTTTACATTGTATATGTTGTAGTTCTTGTTCATTCAACTAAATGTATTTTACAGTTCTTATTCAATCAACTACATGCATTTTACAGTTCTTATTCAATCAACTACATGTATTTTACAGTTCTTATTCAATCAACTACATGTATTTTACAGTTCTTATTCAATCAACTACATGTATTTTACAGTTCTTATTCAATCAACTATATGTATTTTACAGTTCTTATTCAATCAACTACATGTATTTTACAGTTCTTATTCAATCAACTACATGTATTTTACAGTTCTTATTCAATCAACTACATGTATTTTACTGTTCTTATTCAATCAACTACATGTATTTTACAGTTCTTATTCATTCAACTACATGTATTTTACAGTTCTTTACCTCCATTGCTACATGTATTTTACAGTTCTTTACCTCCATTGCTACATGTATTTTACAGTTCTTTACCTCCATTGCTACATGTATTTTACAGTTCTTTACCTCCATTGCTACATGTATTTTACAGTTCTTTACATCCATTGCTACCATGCATGAAGTCAGTCATTCCACATAATTATCCACTCCTTTTTATTCTGTGGTTAATAAACATTTGTCTTACTCGTTTAATTCTTGGATTTCATTATCCATGTGGTTTTGTTGTGTTGGAGAATATCATACTGAACAGTGCCCCTTAATTTAAGAATTGCATGCTTCATTTTGTAATGTTATTGGGTGTAAAAGCGTTGACCAAAGCACATTTGCATGAAACGCGGAAGTTACAAAAAGAAGCTTTCAATTGTATAATTCCATTTGTATGCTACAACCATGAGATTATAAATTTTATCAAATTTGTCGTTTGTTTTCCTTGTCATTGTTAGACTGGTGATTACTGTGAACCATCAAGGTCCCGACAATTTTCGAATTTATAACGAAATAAACAAAATCATACCAAAAATGCATAAAAATCACAACTTCTTCTAGCCATATGAATATTTGTATGTCGTGTATAGCATGCTAACATTCTGAATGAAAACACAAGTATTACCAATATCTCCTAATGACTACAATTACAAAACTAAAAGTTCAGAAAAATTACAAATCCATATAGTGATTGACAAAAAAGGATGCAGAATTTGTGTTTAAGTGACTTGTATAATCATGCAGACATGGCTGAATATCTCTTTATTTTCAACTCACAAGAATAAACAAAATAAATCTGCCAAAAGATGAAAAACAATACAAAAATCAAAAATTAAAACACACACGTTAATTTGAATCAATAAAGTAAAACACCATAAAAAAGAAACTGTAACGATCATTACTCACATAACGGTAGAATGTAACATACTGATACTTGTATGGTTGATGTCTATACTATTATACCTTGGGCGCATTACCGGAGCACAGGTGTTCAGTCTTGAAAATTTCAAACATATATTGGTGATATGAATGATTGGATTGTTTTTTGCTTCCTGAATGGTACAGTTGGCCCCTACTCCTCACCAACACTTCTTTTCAAAAGTCCTCGACACTCTTAAATGAGGTTTCCCAAATTCTTAGTAACTGCAGGTGCGTGCATTTTTTAACGAGCCAGCTGGGAAATACGAGGCCAGTAAAACACCACAAAAAAGAAACTGTAACGATCATTACTCACATAACGGTAGAATGTAACATGCTGATACTTGTATGGTTGATGTCTATACTATTATATCTGAAGGGTACAATAGGCCCCTACCCCTCACCAACGGGAGTGTAACACTTCTTTTGAAAATTCCTTGACACTCTTAAATGAGGTTTCCCAAATTCTTAGTTACAGGTGCGTGCATCTTTTAAACGTGCCAGCTGGGAAATACGTGGCTTTTCATTGACTACATATTTAATCACAGAATTAAACACTTACTGTAGTAATTTTTTCTATATAAATATTAAGATCCTTTTCAAGGTCATATTTTTCACTAAATGAAAACAAATAAATGAAGAAATTAAACTACGCAAAAAGATTAATATCGTATGGCCCGAGCTATCTGTGGACCGAATGAATCCATTAAAATTTATCTTTGTAAATTTTATTAATACTGCTAGGAAATCAGTTACAAACAAACAAAAAATTGCCAAAACCAAGATAAGCCAAGACAGTAGAGATTTACGTATGAAATAAAATTGGCAAAACTAATTCCTTACTTAAATGAGAATCACTTTGCGTCAAAGTGAATATTAACAGTATGTATCAAACCAATACGGTTTTTTTCCATGAATTGTTTAGCATGTTCGATTTGTGTATTGTTTTAGTTGGAACAACGGCCAAGCTATGTATTATGACAACATTCGTGTGAGTAACTCATGAAGTATCGGAAGACTTTCGAGAAGTAGGAACATACTAATTTGACACGATTATGTGTGGAACACCGATAAACGCTTAATATAACATCTTGTTTAACGGAGATAAATACACATTGAAAGGATGGAGACTGAAACCAGACTTGCATAGATATGTTCACACTCAACTTTTATATATAATACAACTATTGACATACCCTGTGTTACTATATCCGATTTTTGTACGGTTGTAAGAGCAAACACTTGGCCCTTCAAATGATAGTTTTTAAATCATAGCCATCAATAATGTATCTTTCAGCTTGTTAAGTCTTATGTATTGGTTTTCAGTTGGACGTGAACCGTATACAACGTTAATGAAACAAGACAATTGACATAAGTTATTAACTATTATCTGTGTTTTACTTAATCCAATATCCATAGGTCAATATTTTTTCCTATATAAGAAAATTCAGTCCTCTCACCTTAACTGCTGTCTTGTCTTTTCAATATTGGCAGTGCTGGTAGATGCCTCTTTGAATATTCGGACATGTCTTGATCCTTCAAATGGTAGTTTTAAAGTTATAACCATGCATACATTATCATTCAGCTTATTCAGGCTTTTGCAATGGTTTCAGTTGGACGTGAACCTCTCAACCGGACACTTTTTGACCTGAAAACGCTAAGTACAGTGTTTGGATATATGAAGAAGGGCCACTTTAAACCCCAAAACTGTTCATCGTATCAAAAAATTGCAGTTGTTGTTCCATTTCGTGACAGAGAACCACAACTACGGATTTTCCTCAATAACTTTATACCACGTATTTATCGACAGCAATTGGAATTTACTATATACGTTGTTGAGCAGGTAAGTATCGATTTATTTTCTTTAAAAAATATAAATTAAAGCAGGCAACATAGTTAACTGGTGTTACATTCTCTTTCATTTTTTGAGTAGACAGTTATCTAAATGTAAATCGTTAAAACATTAGTGTTTATCGTCTCTTTAATGACACGTCTTACACCGTTAACATTATTCACCAAATATTAAAAAAAACCAATAATAATATACATTTTCACATCATTTATTGTTTAGAATAATTTCTTATTTATAAATATTCTAAATCAATTGTTTATCATGGCGTTGTCAGATTATTTAAGACTTATGAGTTTGACTGTTCCTTTGGTATATTTTGGCTCTCTTTTATATGGTATCTGTGCTGATTTTATTATTTACAACATATGAACAAACCATTCGAAATAAAACAAAATGTGTGCATGTTTTAGTAATTGATTTTCTGTGATGAAGACTACCGTTTCACGAAATTTGGACATAAAGGGCATTTAGAATAACTCGCTGTATATACATAATATTAATTAAAAGTAACGTCAATAGCATATAGTTAATTAACCAGGTTCACGAACAGTTATCAATTGTCAAAAGTCAGTAAGCTTCGAAACATGAAATATATACTATGATTGAAAATTACCACGCCAGTAAGTGTCCTGAGAACAGTTGCCTTGCTGCATTCATCTTATGATTGTCTTTAAAAAAAGGAATATCAAAAGTATGGTGTATTACACATCGAATTAATGTAAATATTAGATACAAGTATTAGGGACTTATCATTTTTTATCTGGGAGGGAGACTGGTCAAAATGCAGGGGGGGTCAAGTTTTTTTCTGTATGTGGAAAAGGGGAGTTCATTTTTTTTTATAAATTCAATGTGGGGGAATCAATATTTTTTGCACATGGAAATAAGTAGTTCATATACTTCAAGAGACAAAATGTCAAGAAGAACATTACATCAGTCAAATCGAAATATATTTTTAACACCATTCATATACAATTAGGTAAGACATCACAAGACTTTAGTGATGCAGGATCTGAAGCTGCCATTTTGTGTCATTTTGTCCCATATAAAATGCATAGGTGCTTCATAATCCGAATAATTTAGTCGTTATATTTCACTCACTTCGATCACTAAATTAACAAGCATTACTGCCAAGTTTTGTTATAATCAGCTTAATAGTTTGAGAGAAATTAAGTATAGATTAAAACGAAATCTACGGCGATTTGTGCAAAATTTTGTCCAAAAATACAAATCACGTCGCATCATGGAAGAATATAGTGTAGAGCAATAAATTCTCCAATAAATGATTAAATATTCATCTAATCTGCATACAAACAGTTGAATATTGATACAACAGATGATTCTGAGATGATGAACAACACTAATGTATCTTTTTGTTTCATTACAAGATCGCTTTGTGTCCATTTATACCTCTCACCCCCTCAAAATTTGTACTTTTTAGGCTAATAAATCAAAATTTTGAGGTTACTATCACACATTTATGAATGAAATGTGACATTAAATGAGTAATTGAATTGTTCAAGCTGTAAGCATGAACTATCCATATAAAAGTTTAGAGACTCAATGAAGGTTTCAATAAGGCCTTACGTAAAACTTAAGTTTAAGCAGCGTTCAAGAGAGGGACATAATAGATCCCTCTTAGTAAATAATGTGTTGTTACTGTTTCAAAAAGTTTAATTTTTAATGTATATTTTTTTACAGAGTTACTTTGGATAAAGTTTTCTTTAATAGCCCAATATAGGAAATTAGAAAAAAAAGTCAGAAAAAGCTATTCAAAGCACTGGCTTGCTCTACCTACTATTCATGGAAGAGGCCTCATGGAAGAGCCCTATTGCAAGGCAATTTTCCCTCAAATATGTTTTTGGACTCAATCCACTGAGAATATTTCATTTTCAATATTTTCGTGAAATAACATCATGATAAGTGTTTTGAATGTTAAAATTGTGTTTAATAGAGGGGGATAACAATAGCCTAGTCAATTAAGCTCTAAAATCGCCCAACCTGCAACTAATTGCAACACAAGGTTTTTTTAGTTCAAACTATAATATAGACTTGTACTAACAACATACTAAAACTATACATTGATATAATTTGCGGAAAAGGTTATTTTGGGGTGAAATATGTGGTTTTTAGAGAAAAAATGCTGAAAACTGGAAAAGAAGAAAACATGTTATTTATGGTTACATTTTTAGACCTAAAGCTTGTTGAAGACAGGAAACCTTATCTTAATAGAGTATTATGTAGTCCTCTAGTTATTATTATTCATATTGAAGTAATTTTGAGGTGAAATGAGTGATATTTAGTGAAAAAACGCTGAAAACTGGAAACGTAGAAAATCTCCGTTGTTAATGGTTAATATTTTTGAAATTTGATCTATATAGAAAAAGAACATACTATTTTATGTTTTATTTGTGAAGTCCTTTAGTTATCAATATTAATATTTGGGTAATTTTGGTTTAATATATGTTTTAAGACTGAAAACCCGGAAAACTGGAAATGAAGATATCTCGGTTATTGATGGTTAAAACTTTCAAATTGGAATCTTGACAGAAAATAGAGAATACTATCCGATGTTTATCTTAAGAAGCCCTATAGTTATTAGTATTTAAAAAATTCTAATTTTTGTGTAAAATGTGATTTGTAGATAAAAATTGTGTGAAAAAATGGAAATAAAAAACTCGATTATTCATGGTTAAAACTTTTAACATAGGATCTTTATAGACAGACTATATTATCTTATGTTTATCGCATATGTATTCCTCTTGTTATCGATATCAATAATAATCAATTTGTTGTGTGAAATATTTTGTTTTAGACACTAACTACAAAACAAGAATATATCATAGTACACGGATGCCCCACCCGCTCTATCATTTTCTATGTTCAGTGGACTGTGAAATTGGGTCAAAACTCTAATTTGGCATTAAAATAAGAAATATCTTATCATAGGGAACATTTGTACTAAGTTTCAATATGAATGGACTTCAACTTCATCAAAAAATTCCTTGACCAAAACTTTAACAAAAAACTTTAATCTGAAGCAGGACAGACGGACGAACGAACAGACGCACAGACAGAAAAACATAATGCCCCTAAGTGAGGGGCATATAAAATGAAAATTTTAAAATCTTGGTTATTTCTAGTTTGATTTTTAAAAACGAAAAAATGGAGAATGGAAACAGGAAATGTGTCAAAGAGAAAACAAGGCCACTAATGGGTCTTATACATAGCAAGTAAATCCGGCACACGGAGGTGGGCTTCAGCTGACCCCTTAATTATTTTGTACACTAGTTCAGCAAAATGGACACCACCCTAAACTCCAGTACATACAAATGAACCAAAAGTATCACCAAAAAAAACACACACAAGACAAACAAAGGCTAGAGGTTCCTGACTTGGGATAGGTGCAATAATGTGGCAGGGTTAAACATGTTGTTTGAGAACTCAACCCTCCCCTAGTTTCTCTAGACAATATAGAATAAACAAACACACAGTAAAACTCAGTTTAAATATGTGCATTTCGTGGAAGTTTGAAATTTTATCTTATCTTTCGGTTATGTATTTATAGTAATTATACGTGTAGGTATAATAAACAAAAAATTCGTAAGGGTTCCGCGGAACCCAGTGTCTCGCCTACTTTTGCTGTTAATCGCAGGCTCAACAAAAATAAGGAGAAAAATAATAAAATATATTCCTCTCTATACTATCTTTTGATTGTAAGTAGCTTCCGTCCAAGTTTGGTAAAAATCCAGGATAGTTTATGATTCTAAAAAATGTTTTAAAAACTTAAACTGCAGACTGTATGTAATGTTAACTGGAAGAAAAACTAAGTCCATTTATAAATAAAATACGGAAAAAATTGAACAAGATTTTAACAAAATTTCCTTCTAGATACTAGCTTTCGATCATGAACAAGCTTCTTTCCATGTTTGGTACAAATCCAAGATAGTTTAAGAAAGTTATTAAAATTTCAAAAACTTTAACCACAGAGTGAATGTAATGTAAACTGGCAGAAAAACTAAGTCCATTTATAAGTAAAATACGGAAAAATGGATTTTTTTTTTACAAAATTTACTTTTGAATATTATCTTATGATAATAAACAAGCTTCTGTCCAAGTTTGGTAGAAATCTAGGATAGTTTGAGAAAGTTATAAAAATTTCAAAAACTTTAACCACAGAGTGAATATTTGTGGACGCCGCCGACGACGCCGCCGACGACGACGACGACGACGCCGATGGAATGTAGGATCGCTATGTCTCGCTTTTTCGACAAAAGTCGAAGGCTCGACAAAAATGATTGTGTTCAAAAATAACTGTAAATCAGTTTGGTTACTGACTTTGATTTTGTCATGTTAATTGCTGGAAAATTCATTTTTCTAGTGTCTTTGCATCGTCATTGACTGTAGTCCTTTTTGTGTATTTTTTCATTAGCTACTTTTTCAATATTTGAATTGCATAAAGTCACAGTTAAACACAGACGATGTGATTGCAGATTTCTCTTAATGTGTTGCTAATTTTATTAAGCAAGCTCTATCAATATCGTTTGATTTCAGATATATAAGCTTTTTAAATTTAGGAACATATACTAGTTCACTGAATTAGCATTAAAAGAGGGGCAAAAGATACCAGAGGGACAGTCAAACTCATAGATCAAAAATTAAATGATATTGTTTAATGCAATTTCAAGAGCAGCTTTGTCAATACGATTATAAGTTTACCTCAAAAGCTTGAATTTAAATAGTAATTGTACTAAAGTGGTCCAAATTTGGATGTTGAAAATGAGATATGCACTGTTGAATGAATTAATGGGATCACTTCCTGGAGGAAGTGTTAATAGGAACAGCGCCTTGTGTGTGTACCCTATAAACCTGCATGTATGTGGTGGTCTGAAACATCAACCAAATGGTAATGACAAAGAACTAACATGGGTTGTCTGCTATGTGAAAATATTATGGTCAAAGATATAAATATACTTACTAGTATATAAAGAAAAAACATTACCAAGTTCTTTATTTAATATATCTCATTGAATTAATTTAATAAAAGATAATCAGCTTAGGCTAAGAACTGTAAAAAAATGATCATGCATCATCTGTGTATGAATCAAAATTTGTAGTGTCTGTGGGCGACTTTGATGGCCAGAGATAGCGTTTAGATAGTCATGTCTTATCTGAAAGTATGTCTTGGTTTTTTGTTAATCGTTTGGGTTGCTTTCTCGTTGACTTTAAAAACCTCAAATCTCTCTTTATTCATAAATATACTCTATTACAGATATATCAATGTTAAAGACGCTGTTTTCTGCTTCCGGAATGCTGACCTGTATTCAACTCATTTAAACGAAACTATAAAAATATTTAAAAAAATACACCTCATGACAAAGAATATAAAAGTTTTATGGTCCACTAAACTCTATCAGTGATCTCTTGATAGTAAGTTTGATTGCTTGCCAATGAAACCACCACTTATTATAAAATCTCCCCACTTTAAAAACATAAGAAGATGTTGTATGATTACCAATGAGAAAACTTTCCACAAGAGATATCAATGATGAGGGTGTGGATGTAAACAACTATAGCTCATCGTCAAAATATAAAACAAGTCAAACGAGAAACTCAAAGGCCTGATTAATGTTAAAACAATAAACGGATAAACAAATATGACAGACAGCAAACAATAACAACCAAGTAATAAAGGGCCACTGACTTGTGATGATCATATTCATAGTGTGCAGGGTTAACCCTGTTTGCGAGCACTCAACCCTCCAATAATCAGGAACAGTTTTTATTTAGGGGCCGGCTGAGGACCACCTCCTGGTGCGGGATTTTCTCGTTGCGTTGAAGACCCATTTGTGGCCTTCAGCTGTTATCTGCTCTTGATCTGGTCGGGTTGTTGTCTCTTTGACATACAGTATTCCCCATTTCCATTCTCAATTTTATTTAAATAGCAAACAACGTAAGAACAAATTGGAAAAACCAGTTGGAAAGGGCTCAACTCAAAAAGATCAGCACGGAGTATATGACAAATTAACAAAAAGACACTGAGTTCTCATAGCTAGTTCAAAGCTTAGTAATTACAGTTGATGAATAAATACTGTTGGCACCGACTAAAATATAAATAAGTACACCAAAGTGAAACGTGGATTCAGTGTTACAGTCAAAGCTTTATTTATATGGTGTGTGAGTACTGAGATCGTCGCAAATTACATGAGTAGCTATTTGCTTCGAGGAGCCTGAAATTTTCATTTGTGAATAAAATATTTAACATAAAATCATTTAACAGTCATCATTCTTATTTTTTTATGAAACATTGTTGAATTCTAAATCTTAACATGTTTATTCCAGAAGGTAAATGAAAAAAAAATATATTGTTTTCTTTCTAAAGTTGTGGGGAAAAAAATACATTAAAGACTTTGAATCTTGCAATAACATTTTTTTTTTATAAAAAACAAAACATGACTTTCTGGAACCCCTCCCCCAACAAAAAATTAACTGTCTGTGCCTTTAACACAGGGGCAGAATTCTTTCAAATACCAAGTAAGAATGTGACTAAGTTGGTAACTCTAATTCAGCACAGTTTTCCATTTATAGGTTACTTACCAACACTATTTTGGGGAATTAGATTCTTGGATTGTAAAATAGCAGAACACAATCTCGGTCTATATCCTTATTCAAATATACAAATTTTGAGACAGGAAAGTGATTCATTTGTAATATTATTCTTTTAAATTGAAATAATTATGTATTGTATTGTATTATTTCAACTGTTTTAAAAACTACAGAACATTTTTTGTATAACTTAATTTTTTTCAACTTTGGGAAATAAGGGGAAGCAACTCATATAACCTTACTTTTACTACTAAACATTTTTATAAATTACACCACTTTCCGCAAAATATATTTTTGTATAGTTTTAGTATGTTATTCATAGATAGTAACAGACTTGTTTTTCAGAGAAAAACTTTGTGTTGCAATTAGTTGCAGGTTGTTCACTAAATTGACTAGACTACAATTTTTAAATGTTTTTACGGGGGGGGGGGGTCAAATAAATATTGTGAAATATTATGGGGGGATCAAGAAATTTTGTATGTTTGATTTCATAATGACCAGCCCCTCCCTCCCAGGTAAAAAATGATAAGTATGCACAATACAGGTATGCAATTTCAAACCTCTATCCTTTGGGTTATATCACGATTTTAACTTTTAGGATATACATATATTTAAAAGTCGTTTCACTTTTCCCTATTTTTGCAGACTCCTGGTAATCCGTTCAACAAAGGTATGCTTATAAATACTGGCTTTATCGAAGCAATGAAAGACATGAACTATGACTGTATAGTAATACATGACGTTGATATTCTTGCTGAAGATGACCGAATTCTTTACACGTGTGGTGATAATCCAGCCCAACTCAGTACTAAGATTCAGAAATACGGATATAGGTATATATGTTCAAACTTATTTTGTATCTCATAACAGTTCTTGTTAGTAAGCAAATAAAACGTATAGACTCGCCATGTTCAATGCGGCGAGGTAAAATGAAGATATGACCAATTTATCAGTGTTACAGATGGATACCGACAACGTATACCATAACTTTAACGCACGTTCACGCTGCGTGTACACATTTAGTAACTTTATTCCAATATCCGCGTTTTCTAGTAAACTCGCATTTACTATTACAACAGAAACGCAGTCACAATGGACATGTACCTAATGTCGTCCAATTCAATCTACAGGGGCGTTTACTGTTTGTCCTTTTAGTCTGTATTAAAACGACGAAGATTTCAAACGAAATCCTTTACATGGACTTAATAATAAATGCACTATTTGTAAACATTTAAAATAAACTATATTTTTTTGTTTAAGTTTTAATTTTATAAGTTTCATATAGTAACTGAACACATAACAACAACGGATTTTCCACAACATTTAACACTCATAATTTTTAATTGTTCAATAGCTTATTCATATGTTGCAAATGATAAATAGATAAAGTATTGCTTAAGAACAAAATCTTTTCAGAAATTCTTCTAATTTAAAAATGCAATACATAAATTAGGCCGTTAGTTTTCTCGTTTGAATTGTTTTACATTGTCATTTCGGGGCTTTTATAGCTGACTGTGCGGTATGGGCTTTGCTCATTGTTGAAGGCCGTACGGTGACCTATAGTTGTTAATTTCTGTGTCATTTGGTCTCTTGTGGAGAGTTGTCTCATTGGCAATCATACCACATCTTCTTTTTTTATATATACGCCATTTTTTTCTTTTTATGTAGTTAACATTCAAGACGACTGATTTACATCGGCAAATCTGCAAGACGTTGAAAAACAGATGACATGTACTAGTCTCTGAAGAGATTGTCTTTAGACAAAACAATCCTTTCAAAATATATGTCGTTGTACATGTTTCATAGCATACAAAAATATCCTATATATTCTAAATTGTTAAGCTGGGTTTAAACCTGCAAATCACTTGCTTATTGAATAACACCTGTTGTCGAAATTATTTCATAAATGTACATAAAGTATTTAAAGACTAATCTTTAACCAAAGCGCTAATTTAAAACTAGACATTTTAAGTTCATCGGAGCATATCATCACACACAATAGGTATATCAACAAATCTAAAACATCAACACTTTACTAAACGCATTTTCTATCCAATTTACTAACTTACACAGTTTTTCTATCATTCAGTTTCCATATATATATGACTATGATGATTGACCTGATTTATTTCTTCTTATTTTTTAATTACAGTGTGTAATAAGGATTTTTAATAAACAATTAATCAAAACAATACATTATCGGTTAACACGCATGCTGCGCAAAGCAATTCATCCTTAAAAAAAAAGAATAACTGATTTTCAATAATGGTACATATCATTCAAGAAACTTTTCATACCTTTATTTGATGACGAAAAAAAAATATTTATCAATTGCGGATGGATAGTTGTCTCATTGGCACTCATATCACATCTTCTTATTTATATTGATATATCAGAAATAATGCATCCTATTGTATTATAAGAACAATACATCTTTGAAGAAAAAAAAAATGTTTGCTCTTTTATTATTATTTTAGACAAAAATGTGTGTGACCGTACACAATTTGTGTTAAATAATCCATCATAAGGTCTTTAAACGAACATTAAAATGTTTGCATTACATTATAAAATAAAGATAAAGAAAAAAATAGCACATGTTTTTAGATTTTTGGTTAGATTCGTGTTTTCTGTCCATTCTACAAAAATTACAATACTAAATGTACGCGGTAATATTTGATTTTACAGTAATTCCTTTTAAGTCAAACAATCCAACATAGAATTATTAAGCTTGATCATGATTTTAAAGAATTGGCACTTATGATATATGCGACAAATGTTTCAGTAAGAACAGACTCATAAAGCTCGGAAATTTGGCCAAAACAATTCATCAAGCGGTATTAACATAATTGAATTACAATGCTAAAAATTTATATAGCTCACAATTTGTGTAAAACAATCCACCATGAGACTAACAGGACTGAATAGTAATACAAGACATAATTGTGGAAAAAGAGGATAATTTGCGTTTAAAGTGGTTGTCGACAACTATTTTGTTAAGAGTGAACTTGATACTTCTCACCCATCACAACGGAGCGTTACGAGTATCTTTATCTCGGTGTTTTTTAATATTACATTTTTTTCTCTACATTTAAATAGGATGCCATATGAGACAAATTTTGGAGGTATTGTCATCTTTTCAACAGAACAGTTCAAAACAATAAATGGTTATCCAAACCAATTCTTTGGATGGGGAAGTGAGGACGACGAGGTATCTAGCAGGTGATGTAAATGGTTCCCTAGTCAATAGGCATTCATCTTGTATAGAATATGCATATATGGATTTATCAAAGCATAATATAAAATATGTATAATTTGTGAGTGTGTTTTTGACTCGTTACGTTATTTTACAGTTGACGTATGAAGGTGACAGTAGTTTAGCGATGTAAGTCGATTGCGAGACACCCCAAGATAAAAACACACACTGAGAAAATTGAATGAACTCTAACAGGAGTGAGTGTACTTGATATTGCCTTCCATTAATGATTGGATAAACAAGGAACGATATATTTTTAGATATAGCTTTCAATGAATCTGCAGTGTATTTCTATGCGATTTGTGTCTCTCTAAATGTGTGTTTACGTGTCTGCGTTTTATAACAGCTTCGAAGCAATTTTCTTACATCCCGTTCTGTTGCCTGTCATTGTTAATCTACCATTGGTAACTTGTACTTATAATGCACTTCCATGTTGACCATTTCGAATGCTTTTCCAATGCACTATACCCCCTTGCCATGTCTTTCAAATAGAAGTGTCTCCCCGTTTGACATACGTGCATGTCATTGTATATATTTGTGTCGTTAAACGCCGCCGTATTCGATAATACTTTTTTACGTATGTGCATATGGAGTTTAATATTTGCAAAATACGATAATACGAGGCACTGTCCTGTATACACATATACAAATGAAGATCTGTACATATCTCTGGACTGTTCCTAGAGAGACCAGATAACAAGTTTAGTCTGCAGCAGCCTTATTTACAGGAATTGTCTGGAGTAGATCAGTGTTCATGTCTTGTCTGAATAAAACATACCATTTAGACTGAAGCCATCTAAAATATAAAGAGATATCTATGGTTTAACAATTAAGAAGTTAATGTGTTTTCCTGTTCAAAATGTAGTAGGTTGAATTAAAGAGCAGTTAAAACGTATGTGAAATGTAATCTTTTGTACATGCTACGGATGCTTCAATTTTTACATGATTCGACTCCACTATGACCAATTATATTTCTTGTTAATTACATATTGGTTCTAAAGGTAGTTGAAATTAAAATTGTTTCTTACAAACTTAGTTCATATCACGTACAGCTTGTCTCTATGTTTCTCAAATTATGAAATATCCATTAGACTAGAAAATATAATATTTGATTTACCAATATCAAAAATTGGTCAACCAAATTGATGTTCTGAGCTTCCTGGATTGCCCGGTGTTAACCGGCACCTTAAAAAAACAGTCAACCATCAAATTGCTACTAAAGTAAGATTCGGTAATTGTACAGCATCAAGTTCGTTACCTTGTAATTTTCAGTCACCAAATTGCTACTAAGGTAAGACTCGGTATATGTACAACATCAGGTCCGTTAACTTGTAATTGCCAATCAACAAATTGCTATTACGGTAAGATTCGGTAATTGTACAGCATCAAGTTCGTTACCTTGTAATTTTCAGTCACCAAATTGCTACTAAGGTAAGACTCGGTATATGTGCAACATCAGGTCCGTTACTTTGTAATTGCCAATCAACAAATTGCTATTACCGTAAGATTCGGTAATTGTACAGCATCAAATTCGTTACCTTGTAATTTTCAGTCAACACATTGCTACTAAGGTAAGACTCAGTAAATGTGTAGCATCAAGTTCGTTAACTTGTAAGTGTTAAATATTGCATTGAAATCTTGATTGAGCATCTAAGAAATATTTTTTTTTATAATTGAAACCAACGGTTAATGATCTGTTTGGTCACTGAAACGATGATCCTTAATATATAGATAAATTATTGTACATCCGTGCGTCAGTAATCTATAATATAGCTAACAATTATTAGGCATTGACCACCGCTGTGTCGTCTTGTCGCATCAGAGAGACAAAAGATACCATAGGGAAATTCAAACTCATAAGTCGAAAAATAAACTGACAATGCCATGGTTAAAAAATAAAAAGACAAACATAGAAACAACAGTACACAAAACTAAACATAGAAAGCTAAAAAGCAACACGAACCTCACCAAATTTTGGGGATGATCTCAGGTGCTCCTTCCAGTCCCCCTACAAAACCACCCATCTAATGTTGTGCTCACATTTGTTCCAGCAGCTAAACTTATGTATTATACACGTAACCACTGATCTGTCTTTCTGCTTTCTGTTGGTTACATCCTGGCTGAATGTTTAGTAACAATACACAAATAGTTATTCGCACAGTTCCTTTCAACTCACCACAAGTTCCTCAGACACGCCAAACACACAACCTCCTTCGTCTCTTTTAATTGACAAGCAGAGCAAATTATGGCATGACAAATTATTGTTCATACTGTCAACACGTTTTAGTCTATTTTCCGTTTCTAAAATAATAATACTGTCGTTTTTAGCCTCAGTTTTCGATCAGGGAAATTATCTCTAAAGAATAGTAAAAATCTTCTTGAATAAGATTTGCAACGAACAAACGCAGCAAATGATTAAAATAATAGACGACTTACTTTTATCAGGAATTTTTATCTTGGTGCCGCCCCTAAAAAAATTGAAATTGATAAAGTGTTACGGAAACTTTTTATACTGTCCACTCTTAACGACCATGTGCACTAGGATGCGCTATTTTGCGCAGAGACATGTCCAAACAGTGCATTTTTGTATTAGCGTATGATTACCGATCAAATAACTGAATTCCCTTTTTATTTCGGGCAACAATGAATATAGAATTGCAGACATTTTGCATTTTAAAAATTGATTTTGGACAGTAATGTGTATACTTTGCAATACCGACTGTCAGTTGAAATATCACTTCACCAAACTCAACATATACGTTGACGATGAAAAAAAGAATGGGATTTTGATGATATCATCTTCGCTGTTTTTGTGTATTGAATAATTGTGGTTTCTCAGAAGTAATATTTTTCATGACCTCAAATAAGAAATATGTATCTACGAGGAATATTATAATTAATGGTAGATATATCAACATCTTTGATATTGCTGCAATATTGTAAAGATTTTGAAAGAAGAATGTACAGTAGATCTGTATAATGTTTAAGAATACACATCTGATTTTCACAACTGGTTTAAATTGCCTAATCACAATAGTTCTGAGGGCGATCTTCTATTGTAGATAGAACAGTTATAATAGGTGAATAGATAAAGCATCCACAACCCTGGACTTCTACTAGATGACGAAGTCAAGGGCAATCAAATGAAGTTTTCAAGTTAGCGCATTATTTATACTAAAAATATTAAACAGTAGACGTTTTAGTATATGCAAGTGATGCTTCTTTTACTAATTTGTTAGTCACTTTTTTGTTATCGAAAATATTATTTGTAGATGTGCATTAAAATACTTGAGCATAAGAGGAGATATCATTGTAATGATTTTTAGTTATAATCAAACAATAATATATTCGCTTTGGACATACGAAAACAGAGTGTTATGGGCGCTCTGAAGGCGCTTAGTATAGGTAAAAGTTTGAAATATATAGTGACTATGTCAATTTTTGGGAAAGCAACATTTATGGTTTTGAATTTTTATGTTAATTTAAGAATATATAAAAATGAAAGTGTCATGAATATAGTGAACAGGGGGAAATAGGAACTGAAATAGTAATAATTGAAAATTAAAAAAAAAAACAAACAAAATAATAATAAAAAGTAACAACGGTGTTTCCTGACTAGTTTTAGAGCAGTTAAGACAGATCACTTCTGTAACAACGAGTGCCGGTTTTTTTCCTCATTCTGGTGTTCTTATCTTGATTTGTATTTTTTTAATGCATTTGTAAGATTTGAACATCGGTAAACTGTAAATTATCCGAAATTCAATATTTAACAACTAGCTATAGTTCTTACAGGTTTCGTTTATTTATTTCATAGCCCCTTCTGCTAGTTTTAAAGTTGATTTAGGCCATTACTTGAAGAATAAAACTTAACTATAAAAAAAAATAGGACGATGATTTACTGTTATTTAACAAAATGTGTATACTTTTTAGAATTCGACGAGTTCACTATAAATTGTCTAGACCATTTCACCAATATGGCCACTGCGGGAGTGTGCAACATCAAAAAGCAGCCATTGCAACTGACAGGTATCGAACATAAATCACATTCAACAATTGCATGTTTTACAATTTGTTATGTATTGCTGCATTACTTGACATATTGTATGTATGAGCCCGCCTCTCTGTGTCTGTCTGTGTGTGTATATATATAAAAGAAGATGTGGTATGATTGCCAATGAGACAACTCTCCACAAGAGACCAAATGACACAGAAATTAACAACTATAGGTCACCAAACGGCCTTCAACAATGACCAAAGCCCATACCGCATAGTAAACTATAAAAGCCCCGAAATGACAAATGTAAAACACTTCAAACGAGAAAACTCACGGCCTAATTTATGTACAAAATAATGAACGAAAAACAAATATGTAACACAGCAAAAAACGACAACCACTGAATTACAGGCTCCTGACTTTGGTCAGACACATACAGAATATGGCGGGGTTAAACATGTTAGTGGGCGCCCAACCCTCCTCTAATCCTGGGACAGTGGTGCAACAGAACAATACAAGAACTGAACAAAACAATAAACAAACAACGCATAAGATCAACAGCAACAAATTACAACCACTCAATTACAGGCTCCTGACTTGGGACAGGCACATATAGAATGTGGCGGGGTTTAACATTTTAGCGGGCGCCCAATCCTCCACCTATCCTGGGACAGAGGTGTAACAGAACAACATAAGAACAAACTATAAAAATCAGTTGAAAAAGGCTCAACTCATCAGAAGGGTACAAATAGAAATACATCTAACAAAAACACAGAGTAGACGTGGACGGGTACTTGTATATCCAACAACAAAAAGACACTAAGTACAGATCTGAGAGTACTCGAAGTTACTGACAGCTAGTTCAAAGCCAATAACAACTAATAAAAAAAATCATGCATCAAAGACTAAATTATCAATCAATACACATCCAACATCCAATAGATTTTGTATAAAGACGTAATAAACAGTCAGAAAAAAACATGACCTTGTGCAATGCCAAGATACAGGTAACGACCGATTGTAGAGCCATGAATGTGCATATGTATATAACAATGATATTTAGTTTGCTTTCAATCTACTGATAACAAAATCAATATTAATACCAATAAAAATCAATATTCAAAGATCTAATTACAGTGTTGAATTGGTAACCTTTTAGAACAAGTTTATTTAAAGGATGGATAAGTTTATCCTGATCGTTTCTAAATTTCAGGGCTCGGTCAACAACATCTCCATAAAAATAAAGATGTGCTATCCCGTTTGAAATACGTTTTCTACAGGTACAACCAAACTTCAAAACCAAATCTTTGTATCTATGGAAGTATTTATTAAAGATTTTAAGTAATTTGAGGTAAAGAAATCCCTGACTTTATAATTTACCAGAAATACATAGATTACGTTCATTAGAATCCAAAGCGTCACAACAGAAACGTGCATAGCGAACGAATTGTGATATATAAACACCGTAAGATGGTGCCAAAGGAAGATTCATTATCCAAAAAAGGAAAATTAACAATAGGGAACGAAAAATCGTCCCTTTTGTCGTAAATTTTAGTGTAGAGTTTCCCGTGCAAAACTGAAATATCTAAATCTAGGAAAAGGCAGTTATTACCGTTTGTATTTGATTTATTCCAAGTAAATTCCTTTGGGTAAATTTCGGTATATTTAGAAAATTCTTGATTATTTAACGAAAAAATATCATCAAGATAACGGTAAGTGTTGTTGAATTTATCAATTAAACGCAATTTAGACGGGTCTTTCATGAGTTTGGTCATAAACTGTGATTCATAACAGTAAAAGAAAAAGTCTGCTTTTAAAGGGGCGCAATTGGTGCCCATAGGAATACCTACAACCTGTCGAAAAACTTTGTTGCCGAAACGTACATAGATATTATCAAGGAGAACATTAACAGCTTCAATCATCTCATCACACCTCCAGTAAGTATATCTAGCATATTTACCTTGCTCATTAGAGAAGAAGGCTTTAAATGAGTTTTAGCAAATATATTTGCATTCAGATTTACCAAACGACCATTCAATTAAATAGGAAATTTTTTGTTTGATAAGATTGTGTGGAAGTGTAATGTAAAGAGTTGAAAAGTCAAAACTGTCAACAGAATCAAAAGGACCATCAAAAGCACGTAATTTATCTAATTCATCCAAAGAATTTTTACACTCCAAAAATAGCTACTTCCACTATTTTCATATACTTTATTACAAAAGTTAATGATAAGTTCTTTGATAGTAGTTAAGGAACTAGTTAAAAGCACTGAAAGATTAGTTGTAGAACACTTACTAGAGGCCGAGATGAAACGATATTTTACTGGTTTTTCGTGCTGTTTAGGTAACCAATACATAGTATGTTCTGAAGAGGCCCCAAGCTGTGATGTGGTTATGATGTGTTTGTTAACTATATGACTCTCTGTGGAGCGCACGGACTTGAATGTAGATGAATTTAAAATTTCATTCTTAAGAACGTCCGTGTAGTATTTACGGCATACCACCACCACATTGTTGACTCTTTGTCGGCCGGTACAAACACAAACCGCTTTGAAAGTTCTTGAAGTTTGTTTCTTATTCTAGAAATAGGCGTATTATGTACTCTTTTATTTATTTCTGAATTATTTTCAAAATGTGATATTCGAATATCCGCAACATTCATACATTTATTTAAATAAGAATCAAGAGATTTTTTATCAGATTTTGCCCGTTTATACCAATTTTTACATTACGATGAAAGAGCGTCTTTTGTGACCTGACGACACTGTTTCCAATCTATTTTAGATGGCGGACGATATTTTTGTCCTTTTTTCAAAAAGTTTTTAACCTCTCGGTCTTGAACGATATTTAGGTCCCCCGTAATAACATGGCCATAGGGATCATATCTAAAATTCGACGATTCACAGTTTCAAGTAAGAGGAGTATTATTTTCTACGTATGTGTGTGTGTGTGTATGTCTCTGTCTATCTGTCTGTCTGAGAGAGAAAGAGAGAGAACTTATGTACAAATCCATTGGAACAGATTAATAATACTATTTAATATTCTCTTTAAGGATGAAAATCAGAAGAATTTCAGAATCAATTTGGAAAAAAGATGGCCTGTTTGATCTTTTCGATCATGCATACACAATTTTAGAAAAACAAACAAAGCAATTATACTTATGGATTTACAGAGATATTGATATGAAGAAAGTGCGTCAGGTATTTTACATCTTTTTTTCGACAGTGCTTTGGATTATTATATTTAACTGAAAAATAAAATAATAAAAAAACCTGCAAAAAATGCAAAACGGAATGCCCCTTATCTAATGGCAAAATCAAAAGTTCAAACACATCAAACAAATGGACTTCAAACAACTGTCATATTCTTGAATTGGTACAGGCATTTCTTTATGTAGAAAATGGTGAATTAAACCTGGTTTATAACTACCCAAACCTCTTACTTGTAAGACAGTCGCATAGAATTTCAGAGCTTAGTACATGTCGTAATAAGCAACTGATTTTTTTTTTTTTTTAAAGATAAGAAAAAAAAAACGATTCCGATTGCAAATTGTATTATCAAGAATTCCAAATTTTAGAGGTTTTCCTGGAATCAATATAACTTACTCTATAAAATTGAGAATGGAAATGGGGAATGTGTCAAAGAGACAACAACCCGACCATAGAGCAGACAACAGCCGAAGGCCACCAATGGGTCTTCAATGCAGCGAGAAACTCCCGCACCCGGAGGCGTCCTTCAGCTGGCCCCTAAACAAATATTTATACTAGTTCAGTGATAATGGACGTCATACTAAACTCCAAATTATACACAAGAAACTAAAATTAAAAATGATACAAGACTAACAAAGGCCTGAGGCTCCTGACTTGGGACAGGCGCAAAAATGCGGCGGGGTTAAACATGTTTTTTGAGATCTCAATCCTCCCCCTATACCTCTAGCCAATGTAGAAAAAACAAACGTACAACAGTACGCACAGTAAAACTCAGTTTAAGAGAAGTCCTAGTCCGATGTCAGAATAGGAAACAAAAGAAAATAAACAAAATGACAATAATACATAAATAACAACAGACTACTAGCAGTTACTGACATGCCAGCTCCAGACCTCAATTAAACTGATTGAAAGATTATGTCTTCATCATATGAATATCAGGCACAATCCCTCCTATTAGGGGTTTAGTATTATCCCGTCATAAAATATATGAGAAGAACATAACCCGTGTCATGCCAACAACTGGTTTTAGAATAAATATGTTTAATTCCGATGCAAAGACCCTATAAGTGAATCAATATTAAAGCCAAAATATGCAATTTTTAATGACCTAACAACAGTATCGTAACTATATCCCTTCTTAATAAGTCTGTTTAAAGGTTTTGTTAGCTTTTGAGGTGAATACTGACATTTTTGTGCTTTGTAAAGAATATAACCTTAAAAGATTGGATGTGAAATACCCGAACGTATAAGATGTCTGCATGTTGAGTTATATTTACGAATGATGTCCTTATACTGATGATAAAATTTAGTAAATATTTGACTAGTTTATGATATCGAAAACCCTAGTGTAATAATTTTTCAGTAATATATAAATTTCTCTCGCTAAAATCTTATACGTTGTTACATACACGAGCGAATCGTACAAGTTGAGATATATAAACACCATAAGATGGTGACAAGGGACATCACCATCTAAAAATGGATAATTAACGATCGGAAATGAAAAATCATCTCTTTTATCATAAATTTTTGTATTAAGCTTCCCGTTAATGATATAGATATCAAGATCGAGGAAAGGACAGTGGTCATTGTTAGTATTAGCTTTATTTAAAGTAAGTTCAACAGGATAAATTCCTTTAGTATACATACTGAAGTTGTCACTATTGAGAGCCAATATATCATCCAAATATCTAAAAGTATTGTTAAATTTTTGTATCAGATGTTGTTTCGATGGGTCTTTGCTGATTTTAGTCATAAATTGTAACTCATAACAATACAAAAACAGGTCCGCAATAAGGTGTGCACAGTTAGTCCTCATTGGCATTCCGATAACTTGACGATATACGGAATCTCCAAAGCGAACAAAAATGTTATCAAGTAAAAGTTCAAGGGCAGATATAGTATCAAAGCATGTCCAATTGACATAGCTCTTTTGTTTGTTTCTACTAAAAAATGACCTAAAAGAGTTTGAACATATGTATTCGCATTCCGACTTTTTAAATGCCCATTTAATTAGGTGTGTGATTTTTTTCTTAATAAGAATATGAGGCAAAGTGGTATATAGGGTAGAAAAATAAAAAAAAATCTATGTATACTCTCGCAGAAATGGTTGCCTTTAACTTAGTTATTTAATAAAAGAAATAGAAATTCGTGATGAAAAGCTATATATAAAATATGTAAATATATCGGGACTTTTCACAGTTTGTCCTATCGTTATCGCCATTGTTTATGATTAATAAACGTGCACTGACAAAAACTTAACTAAAATGTCATCCGTTCAATAGTCCCATACCATTCCGATTATACGATACACTATTTCCCATATACAATACAAAATGCATTTTAAATCGTGCATCATTCCACCATAAATCGTACACTATAACGCTTTACACAAAACACCTACACCATACACATTTTATTCAAAAAGTTACACCATCCAAGGGATCTATGATAATAATACGAATATAAATTTGATACTATTTTTGACAGGATGTATGTTACGTTTCGGGACGTGTTATAACACAATTGTATGTTTAAAGTACCATTCTCGAACATGCAGAGTTATGAGATTGGTCTCAACCACGCTACGTGTATACACTAAAGAAGACAGCTGTGGGTTCTCCGATAATTTTTATTATGTTATCCGGCACAAAAGCTAAAACAATCCATGAAAATTAGCTAAAAAAATCACGTTAAACAAGTGAACATTTAAATAGCATTATTATTGATTGTTTTAGTGTCAAATGTAATCAAATATTCAATATCTTGCATATGCTAAAAAAGATTATCCTGTTTTAGACTTGTTTGCTGTACAATTTTGGTTGAAAAGGAAAAAAAAAAACTAAACAAAAAAAATGAAATTTAGTAAATGTGTGGAACCAAGGCGTAAATCAACTACACCTTCAGTAGACAAACATTTAAGTCATCATGCCATATACCGTATTGAAATCAAGAGAAAAACATAACAATTAAAATTGTTATAAAAAAAAAAAATACATTTTACATACTGTACATATATTACATGTATTACGTAAATTTATCAACAAAATAAGACAGGCTAGCAGATGAAAACCTCTTAGATTACTGAAAGTGTGTGTATATCAATGAAAGCTTCATGGAGTCGCAATGCATGAGGTGAAAAAGAAAAATGTAACTAAAAACTATAGTTTTTTTCTGTATCCTTAATTATAAATATACTATATATGGTCTTCCGGTTCACCATCTTTTTATTATTAAAACCACCGAATGTATACTGAATTCTATTTTTGATTGCTGTGATGTGCATACAAGTAGATTCATTAACTACGAACACTCCTCAGTAATTTGTTGGCAATGTTTGTCTTTTGTTTTTTGGTATGTAAAAATACCGGATTTTCAATTATGTTTGCCTCGCGCAATATCGAGAAAAAAAATATCATTGTCGAAATGCACATTATTCTGATGCTGTAAGTGTTACAGTTAATTGTTTTAGAGAAAATTTGATTGTGCTCCTCTTCTTGCCGACTGGTTCTTTTATTCATTCTTCGCTCAATTAACCATTAATGATGGTGGTGACAATATTTTTAGCGCATATCTTGACTTAAATTTTGAATTTAACAACGAAGATCGGTTGCCAAAAAAAAAACCAAACCTAACGATAAAATGGATGATATCAGTTCAATTCCATTTCTATGTACCAACATTCAAACAGCGTCTGCGTAAGGAATAATTATGATTTATTATGTCACTGTTTACAATGAAGTTTTTGTTCCAAGGGTTTCAGGTGAAACAGCTAAAAACATTCTATAAAGGTTGTACGGAGGCCACCATGGATCGGTTCGCTATTATGGCATATTTGTACCACAAAACTCCACAGATACGTTATAATTGCTGTAACCTTACCTCGATTAGGACATCAATATTTAAAAATAACGACCTACGTCCTCAAAATCTTTTAATTTTCAAATGTATATCGAATAAGCGTAAATCTACACTTATATCTAAACAACCAACACTGTGAAACCTTAATTCCGTTGTTTTTTTAATTTTAAAATGTACATCATTAAACTCATTATGCTTGCTGTTCAATGAAAAAAAAAGAAAGAAAAGAAACAACCCACGTCATTTACTAAGGCTTTCAACAACTCAACCAAGATGAGTGAACATACATATAGTAGAGAGTGATATCGAACATCTAGTGATTTTTAATTTATAAATTGAGATTTTGTCTTTGTTGCAGAAAATGGTTTCGTACATACCTATAGGCGGAAAAGTACACAAATGAGAACAGTTTAAAAGATACAATCATATTTATAACACTTTCAGACAATTTAATGTAGTGTATCATAAAAAGTATACCTGCTGCATATGTCATCGTTTCGTTATTAATCTTTAGTTCAATTTATAAAAGTTGATTCCTCCTAAGCCATCTTTCATTAAAAAAAAATAACGCCGTACATGGACGAAATTGAAACAACCAGAATTTAAAAGCTGCAAAAAGTAGTCATTGAACGAATGCAATATCTGGAATTTACTCCAATTGTTACAGAGTGATTCGGTCATACAACGTCGGACATTTTACAATATTAATGTTTTACTTGTTGTTTAAATGCTCCAACAAGTTAACATTTGATGAATCCTGTACTGATGTTACGTGCAAAATAAAGTTGCAAAAGTTACTTCCCCAGTAAAGGTCAATGTTCTGCACGATACCTGCGAATGCACATATGATTATACATAATATCGCGGTTATGATTTTCCCCTTTAGTGCTGGCATTTCTTCTCATATTCTCTTGTAGAAATAAGGATACAAATATCAATAAAAATATTTCCATTTTATTTTTTTTTATTTTTTATCCTTATCTTAAATGTCTACGGAATAAACATAACTAACGTGTGAAGATATTTTTTTATAAGTAGTTAGACTAGCACGACAACTAGTTTTGATAATCAATATAATATAATGGCATCGTGTCTTTAACACAATCAATCAGCAGGATATAAAATATAACACTAGACTGATATGATATTATAAACATATAAGTTCATTGATTTTCCGTCTATATTTTTAATTTGAGGAGAACTTAAAGCCTAATAATTTGCATAGGCAGAGGTAAAAAAAGTAACGATATCTAGTTGATGTAAAGAGTGTCAGTGTGTTTGTGATTTTATTTACATTTCTACTTTCCCTCTCTGTCCTTTCTGTTTGATAATTTGTTTGTGTGTTGAAAATCAGGAGAACATGCAACCTATTTTTTTCAGGACCCCTGGTGTCAAGGTCACGTTATATATCTGTCCAAAAACTCGTAGCACAAGTAGACCTTAAGGTTTTAAATATGTCATTCTAAAATTGCTCTATACCTTGACCATGAGCCCTATTGGTTATTAGAGTAAAAAGTTGAAGGTCAAAGTCACTTTGTAGAAAAAAAAAGTCGGTACCCACTTCATAGTCCTGATAGTTTTGAATACTTGTTTTGAATTGGATGGTCCCATTTATAACGTCCTTTTTGAGAGGCTGATGTTCATGTCATAGTGATTGCCATTAATCATCATTAGATAAGAATTGAAGTCTGAAACAAAAGGATGGATACAAAATGTTGGATCATATCTATATATTACAACCATGAACGTCTTCTATCTATAAATGTTTGACGGCCTTATAGATTGTGGTGGCGAGGAGTATATGATGTATAACAGGAATTGATAAATATGCATATTTACATGTGGTTCATACGCCATGACACATACATTTTTTTAGTTACCAATAGTAGGTTTAATGGGGCTTATAAATTTTTAATACTACAGAAAACGGGAAGTGATTGGGGGAGAGGGGAAAGCTAATTTTCTGTGGCGGATTTTTGTTTCGAAAACTACGAAAGATTCTTTTTAACGTACGATGGAACGTGGCATTCTCTTAATACACACGGGTCCGCAGATAGACTCTTCTTAATATAATATCACGGTAAACGAGGAACATGAAAATGAAAACAACACGTTATGAATGTCATTCGTCTGAAGCGCTTTTCTGGATTTACCTTTATCAGGAAAGCTCAAAGCCGAGTATTTGAAAGCAAAGGATGTATGATAACAGTTGAAGAGCTATATGACCAAAAAGGATCTAGACAATAGCAAAATCCATTTAAGGTCAACTTTCCCTGAGGGAGTAGAAGTTTTTTTTATTATAATTCAAAAATTTATTAAGGGCCAATTTTAGAAAGGATTGTTATAAATCATCTCAGTACAGAAGTACTGACTACTGAGCTAATGATACTCTCGGGGACTGATAGTCCAACAGCAGAGATATCTGTTTAAGGGTATGTTACAAAATTTTGACTGATTTTCTTAATATTTAAAATGGGTAGGTTACACGTGTTTGTCATGGAGGACTATTTTGTACATTTATTCTAGTACGGTTATTTATCAGATTGTTCCCATAAAGACTGCCTTGTACAGATACAGGTATGATGCAGATATTATCAATTGGGACTGTTCTTTGAAGTTTTCTAATATGCGTATCTTAAGGGTAGTTGTCATAGGGATTGTATTTTGCAATTTTCCAATACGGGTAAGTTCAGATATTCTTCTTGGGGACTGTGTTTAGCTGTTTTCAAGTACTGGTATGCCACAGGTATCTAGTACAAGGACTGTTTTTCTGCTTTATAATACGGATAAGTAACCCTGTTAGTAATAGGTACATTGTATTGCAGATTTCTTAAACGGATATGGTGCAGGTATTTGTCGTTGGAATTGTGCTTTTAAATTTCCAAATACGGGTATGTTTCATACATTTTTAATTAGAATTGTTTATGTCGTTTTCTAATCCGGGTATTCTACATATATCTTTCATAGGTTCTGTGTGTTAAAGTTTTGTAATAAGGGTAATATTGAGGTATTTGTCATAGGGACTGTGTGCAAATACAGGTACGTTTCAGATATTCTTACTGAGGTCTGTGTTTTGGTGTTTTCTAATACGGGTATGCTGTAAGTATTTATTACATGGGTCATTTTCTGCTTTATTATACGGGTAAGTTACCCTATTGATAATAGGTACAGTGATTTTGCAGATTTTTAATACGGTATAGTGCAGGTATTTGTCATTGGAATTGTGCTTTACATTTTCAAATACGGGTACGTTTCAGATTTTCTACATTTGGATTGTTTTACTGCTTTTTAATTCGGATATGCTCCATCTATTTATCATTGGTTCTGTGTTTGGTAGTTTTGTAATAAGGATATGTGAAATTGATTTGTTATAGGGATTGTGTTTTGGAGTTATCAAATACGGGTATGTGACAAACTTTTATCAGGACTCTTTTCCTAAATTTCTAACACGGGTATGTTACAGAATTTTGTCATAAAGACTTAGATTGACATAATTCTTAGTTTCTAAGTTGTCTAGTACGGATATGTTAAGGGTAATTGTCATAGGGATTTTGTTTTTATTTTATTTTCCAATATGAGAACGTTCCAGATATTCTTCATGGGGACTGTGCTTTGTTGTTTTTTTCCAATACGGGGAAGTTACCCTGTTAGTAGTAGGTACTGGGTTCAAAGATTTCTACAATGGGTAAAATGCATGTTTTTTGTCATATTGAGCTTTTATATTTTCAAATACGGGTACGTTTCAGATTTTTTTATTGGGATTGTTTTTGCATTTTTTCATCCGGGCATGTTCAGATATTTATCATATATCCTGTGTTTTGAAGCCATGTAATAATGATATTTTACTAACTTTTATAAGGTCTGATATTCTAAATTTCTAATACGGATGTGTTACACGTGTTTGTTATAGAAGACTATTTTGTGCAGATATTCAAACAAGGGTTTGTTACAGATTTTTGTCATGAAGATTCTCTTTAACAAGTTTATGTTACAGTATTTTACAGTTATTAGCCATAGGGACAGTGAAGTTTTCAAATACAGGTATATTAAGGGTATTTGTCATTGGGATTGTGTGTCGAAATTTTTAGAAATGGGTTACAGATATTCTTCATATGGACTGTTTTGTTGTATGATAATACGGGAATGGTACAGGTATTTATTATAGGGACTCATGTTTTTTTTTCCCTTTAACGGATATATGACCCTGTTTTAATAGGTACTAGGGAGTTCTAATATGGGTAAGGTGCAGATATTTGTTATTCATGTTATTTGAATCGTGGTTTTAAATTTTCAAATACGGGTACGTTACAGATAATCTTATTGGGATTGTATTTTTCATTAATTTAAACCGGGTATGCTACATATATTTATTCTAAGTTCTGTGTTTTGAAGTTTCGTAATAAGTGTATGTCAAGATTATTTGTCGTAGGGAATGAGTGATATAATTTTCAAATACGGGTATGTTTCAAATATTTTTCATTGGGATTGTTTTTGCATGTTAAAAGTTTTTATCATAGGGACTGTGTGTTGACATTTTTCAAATACAGCTGGTACTCTTACAACAAAAGAGATGATTTCAGCTTCCCAATTGTGAATTTTCATTTTTAAACCAAGAGTTCCAAATGGTGAAGTTGAAATCACCACTTTGTAAATTTTACGAACGCCATCACGAGTTGTATGACCGTTATGGAATATCCGTTTCACAGATGATATCGGATATGTTCCTTATGTCGTAACTACAATCCAGTTCCCTTTTCACGAATGTGACCTACCGAATTAGACTATTTACCCCTATTTGTTACATTTTTACCTATTATTTTTGTTTGTTTTGTTCACACATCGTTGTCAATATAATGGAAATTGATGCGACTGTCATACAAGTGAGAGGTTTAGCTAGCTTTAAAACCAGGTTCAATCCACCATTTTCTACATAAGAAAATGCCTGTACCAAGTCAGGAATATGACAGTTGGTATCTATTCGTTTGATGTGTTTGAACTTTTGATTTTGCCATTTGATTGGGGACTTTCCTTTTTGAATTTTCCTCGGAGTTCAGTATTTTTGTAATTTTACTTTTTATGTTACGGGTATTTGCCATATAAGATTATTTTGTGCAGTAATGTAATTGTACAGCTATTTTGCAGATGTTTGTCATTAAGACTGTCTTTAATTGATTTTTGATACGGGTGTGTTACAAATATTATCTATATGGACTGTGTTTTCTAGTATTTGGCATCAGATGTCAACCAGTCAGAAACAACGTTAAATATGATCTTGTATCTTAAGGTACAAACTTATTTCTTTACTTCTTTTATTTTTTTTTTTTTTTTATTATTTCAGTGTTTGTTCAACAATAGACATACACCGTAACTTGCTTTTAATATCGGATGTTTTTATGTTTCACTCTTTTTGTTTTTTGATCAATGTAAATTTGAGATAGGTGGAAACAACTTCATCAGAGCTTCTTTTGGAATAA